ATTCGTGGTAATGCCCTTTTGTTTAAGACAAATGAACATGCAACATTTATGGACCTGATGAAGCGAGTCTGCCGACCTTTCCTTGACAACTTCGTGATAGTCTTTATCGAAGATATACTGGTTTATTCTCGAAAAAAGGAAGAGCACATCCAACATCTACAATAGTTTTTGGAAACACTTGGAGCGGAGAAGCTATACGTGAAATTCTCTAAGTACGAGTTCTAGATCCAAAAAGTGGATTTTCTGGGGAACATGGTCAGTGAAGAGGGAATACATGTGGACCCATCCATGATCAAAGCAATTGAGGGATGGGAAACCCCCAGAACCTCGACGGATATCAAGGAATTCTTAGGCCTCGCAGGTTATTACATGAGGTTCATACAGAATTTCTCCAAGATTGCCAAGCCACTCACCAGTCTAACCCAGAAGGGTGTACTTTTCACCTAGGAGACGAAATAGGAGGTTGCTTTTCAAACTCTAAAACAAGCCCTCTGCAATGCTCTGATGATGTCTCTTCCAGAGGGAACAAAAGATTTCGTAGTTTATTATGACGCATCTAATCAAGAGTTAGGATGTGTACTTATGTAGTGCGGAAAAGTTATAGCTTACGCGTCAAAGCAGCTAAAAACCCATGCAGTGAACTATACCACTCAGGATCTTGGTCTTCGCTCTAAAGATTTGGAGGGACTACCTCTACATGATGAAGTGCACCATTTTCACAGACCAAAAATATCCTCCAACATATCATGAAACAAAAAGAACTAAACATGAGACAACAGCAATGGGTGGAGCTGCTAAACAACTATCAGTGTGAGATTCGGTACCATTTGGGCAAGGCCAATGTGGTGGCTGGTGACCTAGGCAGAAAAGAATACTCGGGTCACTGACTAAGATCACTAACAATAACAATCCATTCCCACTTGTCTTAAAAAATTAAGGACGCTCAACTGGAATCCTTGAATCCGGAAAACATCGCAAACGAAGCCTTGTGTGGGATGGACAAGAATCTTACAATCAAAGAGGATGGAGCTTACTACCTCACGGATCAAATCTGGACTCCAAAATTTGGTGGGTTCAGAGATATGGTCATGAATGAAGCACACATGACAAAGTACTTTGTCCATCCGGGTTCCAACAAAATGTTTTTAGACCTCAAACAACAATATTGGTGGCCGAATATGAAGGCAGAATTTGCTACCTACGTGGGCAAGTGTCTGACTTGCGCCAAGGTGAAGCTAAAGTATCAAAAGCCTTCGGGACGCCTTCAACAACTGGAGATACCTGAGTGGAAATAGCAGAGAATCACAATGGATTTTATAACTAAATTACCCAAGACAATAGGTGGATTGGATGCCATCTGGGTGATTATCGATCGGTTGAACAAATCCACCCAATTCCTGCCATTTAAGGAAACGTATAAAGTGGAAAAGCTGAACCAGATCTACATATAGGAAGTTGTGAGATTACATGGCGTGCCAATATCTATTCTCTCACACAGAGATAGTAGGTTTACCTCTTATTTTGGGCACTCGCTACAGAGGTCGTTGGGAACCCAACTTGATATGAGCACCGCCTACCACCCCCAGACAGATGAGAAAAATGAGAGGACCATCCAAACATTGGAGGATATTCTTAGGGCCTCTGTGATAGACTTCGGCAAGGCATGGGGCATCCACTTAACACTGATGGAATTCTCGTACGAAAATATCTATCACACAAGCATCAAAGTCGCTCCCGTTGAGGCCCTTTATGGACGAAAATGCTGATCACTTCTCTGTTGTGCGGAGGTACGAGACACACAATTAGCAAAGGGACTAGTACCCAACAACAATCTTAATGGGCCTGATATTATCAGGGAAACAAATGAGAAGATCATTTAGATCAGGGAGCAACTCAAGGCATCTCGAGACTGACAGAAGAGCTACGCTGACAGACGATGGAATCCCCTAGAATTCCATGTCGATGATCGCATACTGCTAAAGGTCTCTCCATGGAAAGCGATGATACGCTTTGGAAGGCGTGGAAAGTTAAATCTAAGATACATTCGACCATTCAAAATCCTTGCCCGGATTGGTCTGGAGGCTTATAAGCTGCAATTACCACAAGAGCTCAGCAATGTACACCCTATCTTTCATGTGTCAAACCTAAAGAAATGTTTGTCTGACGAGACTCTTGTGGTCTCGCTTGACGAAATTGAGGTGAAAGAAAATCTCCATTTCGTTGAGTAACCATTTGAAATCATGGATAAAAAATGTGAAACGAACAAGCAAAGTCACATTCCCATTATGAAGGTCTGATGGAGCGCCAGGTGAATTCAGTAGGTCGCCATCGAGGTAATAATTGTGGTTGATTTTTAAACTAACATGTGTTTGTTGTTTGTTGGAGTTTGTGGATTGTGAAAGAGATTTGTGATTAATACGGATGTCAAAAAGTCCCATGGGACCTCGTTCCCGTGGGGGCCCCGACCCGTTTGGGGTGAAATTTCTTTAAAAGATTGGGGGTTAGGACGGGGGCAGGGGCAAGGTTATAACCTCTTTTAATTTCGGGGGTGGGGCAGGGGTCGACAATCCCGTCCCGAAAACCCCATGGGGACCCCGTTAATAAATTACACATATATTTACATATATTAATTATATAAATATAATAAACAATAACATGATTTTGAGCTACCAAAATTCATCAAAAAAAAAAAACATCTTTTTAAGTTGTTAGTATACAGTTTTTAAGATGTCATAAATTTTTTATTTTAAACATGTAAAATTCTGCTATAAATAATTATTTGTTACATAAAAATAGCTTTTTTAAACCTAAATAACAACTTTTATCGAAAAAAATGTAACCCAAAATCAATCGGGGGTGGGGGAACGAGGGTAGGGGTGGGGGTAATAAAGGGGATTCGGGGGCGGGGGCAGGGGTAGCAAGGCTGAACATTTTGGAGGAGGGGGTGGAGATGGGGGAACAGGGAAAATTTTGGGGCATGGGTGGGGGATGCACTCCACTTCCCGTTTACCCCCATTGACATCTCTAGTGATTTAGCACCCAATTTGGACTATCTCGCAAAACTAGCCGTATGTTTTGATAGAAAAATTGTTTACAACCATTGGTGACCGTATATTGTTGAATCACCATTTCTACATTGTTAAAATCATTAGACCAACTTTTATGCTAGTCCAATATTCGCTCCATTTTCCAAACCGACCACGATTCTTGCTATACATTAATTATAAACGATGTAATTACGCCTTCGGTAATTGTAATCTTATTATGAATAAATGAAAAATGCTTATTTGAATATATGTGATATGTATGTATAGTTCGTATGAATCAAGTGTAAGAATGTAATCAGAGTGTGAATTGATTGAAGAACACAAAACGTAAATAAGGTATGTTTGGCTCTTTATTGTTTCTCAGAGAGTATACAAATTTACCCTAATATGTATACTTTCCCATATTTATAGGAGTTAACAGAAGCACAAAAGATACATAAGGGCTAAAAAACTAAAGCTTCGAAATCTAAATTGCCCTTATGAAATACATATAACAAATACATCAAAAAGACTTCGGCACAAGACATAACCTAAGACACTTCGACATCTCACAATATATTTCGAACCCTACATTCTCCCCCTTTGTGAGAAATGTTGAATCCTAAGTCATTAACATATTTGTTGCTTGATGAAGTACTCTCCGAATCTTTGTGTACCATATGATAGTTCTTCAAATTTTAGCTTTACCACCAGTTGTATTTCTTTTGCGGTTGTTAATACAAACCAGGGAACTCGTGTACTGTGTATTCATATATCTTTCAACATCTCCAATCTTGAACAAGAATTTTGTAATCTTCTGATTTTTGTTCTTCCCAACGAATAAAACTCCCTGTGGCTTGACACATATTTCACCATCTTCAAAATTCTTTAAGCTTCCTTGACCTTTCAGCAATGATTGTGGCACAGTCACTTGTATTCCCTTTGCTAAAGCAAGCTCCACATCAGTTAAGGCCAAACAATCATAATAATTGTCTACGAATAGCTTGGTATGTTTAAAGCCAAGCAAGAAGTCTTCTTTTCCATTCACTTGAAGTTTCAAAACCACCAGTTAATATCTTCACAATACAGATGAGATCATTAATATTTATCAATGGTAAATCAGCCACCAATAAGTCATAGGCGACATTATTAGCACAAACCAAGTGATAATGAAAGTTCTGCAATAATCCTTCGAAAAGTTGATCCTTGGTAACACCCAAAACTTTGACTATTTTCACTAAGGATCAAACTTTTTCTTCTTTCTTCCCAAGAATTACATGAAACTTCATCTTTAGCTTCTTGTATTCCTCTTTATCTTCAAACTTGTCAAACAATTGATACTGAGCCGAGATAATCATCATATGATTAAGAGGAAAATCCAATTGGTTAAAATCTAAATTCTCTATCTCATAGCTCTTCTTCGGTACTTTCAGAACATCAAACACATCCCCAAGTGAAACAAGCTATTGAACTGCTTCATAAAAAACTACTTAGTGGGATCTCCTTTCTCAATACTTGGAGGATCATTTTGTCGTCAACTCAATATTTTGTTGATTTGTCTTTTGTCTTTTAATCTCTTTGTCGACATTCTTCTTTTTCCCCTCCCATAAAAACTCCTTCACAATGGCTTTACGTCTATCACCTTTACCAAGACTCGAGGATGGTGGCTTAGAGCTCGAACCACCAACAGTTGAACTAATAACTATTCCTTTGGTCAATGGCTTCGAAGTCATTGTGGTTGAGGTTGTTGACATCAAAGTTGGAAGTGAAGTTGTAATTTGTGTACTTATCACCTTCCCAACCACCTTTCGTTGATCAGGATTTTTCAATGAGCCAACACCCTTTTCTCCCCCTTGCACCCTTATTTTAACAAGTGGGGCATCTATTTGGCAACAAACTCACCAAAATTAGAAGATAAGCAAATTCAGATTTCAGATTGGACTCCAATAAAGAAAGCATCTGAGATAACAACTCCTAAGAAATAGAAGATTTTGAAGAAGACTCGAGCTTCGAAATGGAATCCTTCAAGCTTGCCGAGAAGTCTTTCATCTTGGTGAAAACTTGGGCATCTTTTGTCAAAAATGATGTGAACTTTTCAACAAGCTTGTGAATGGCCTCAATAACAACATCTAGCTTTGTAAGAAGAGACTCATGACTCTGTTCAAAATTAGTCACCTCCTTCAATAATGTCGACTTTAGGGACTCGACCTTCAAATTCATAGAGTTTTCAACTTTCTTAACCTCTTCGACAAACAAAACGTGTCTTACATTTTCTACTTCATGAAGGTCTATAATTTCATACTGAAATTGTTAACATGACATCTCAAACCCTCTTCATGTCTTTATTCAATCTGATCCATAACAACCTTCAACCTATGCTCTTGAGATTTCAAAAGCACATCCACCTCAATCCCAGATACCAAATTATAACTTCTTGTGTCATCCTGAATTTGTAACAATGAATTCAGATTCTAATTTAGGATTTTAAATTTCTTTCTTGACATCAACATGTGATCAGGAATGTTCTCCTCCTCGGGTTAGAATTGGATTTCAGCAAATGAAACCATGACATCATCTTCATCTTTATCAAAAATTGATTTTTCACCTTCGGTTAATTGAGAAGGGAAAATGGTAGTAATAGGTTGATTCAAGATATTGTTGTAAGTGAGTAAAATAGTGGAAGATGGTAACAACATACGAGTAGGTGTAATAAATGGTGGTAGGGAAGTACAAATGTCGATTATATTGGTTTCAACTGTGGAGGAAAGAACAAGTGAAATGGGAACAGATGAAGTTACAATAGGAGGATTACCTGGCACTTAAAATGTCGACATCCCATCACCCTTGTTGACATTTGTGTCCATATGAGATATGTTCACAGGGATGCCTGAATTTCAAACCTCCTCCGAAATGGATTCAACCATCAAAACTTCGGGTGCTATGACAGTTCTCTGCTCAGGGATGGAAAGTGTTAAAGAATCACCCAAAAGAGTTGTTGTGTCTGTATTAAATACTTTCACAGAGGCACCTAAACTTCCAGTCTCCTCGAAAGTCAACTTGACTGGAGAGTTCCTTGGAGGTGATGTGAAGCCAATATTTTCATGACGAAGAGGAGACTGGGTAGCATTATCCTTGAAGTCAATCTCCTGAACAACTTCGTCTAGAGGGTCTTCCATTTGCTTTTTCATTTTCATAATTATTTTAACCATAGCAGGTGCCCTTCATTTGTTGGAAGCAGGAGAAACAGGAAAAGGAATTTCCCTGGTGATAACACCCCTTTAAGTGAGTTGAGGTTTGCAAATCTTTCTGGTCTTTGACATACAATCTGCTTTTGAAGAAGAAAGAGACTTCTCAGGAACGTCTTCGCTAATAGGAGACTTTTCTAGTGAACGACGAGGTCTGTAGGTAAGCTTCTTCATTCATTTTAAAACACCTTTTTTCGATGGTACTACTTCCTTTTGAATTTCCTATACTATAGGATCATGAACAAGCTTCGTTACGTCCTTCTCAATTGTTTCAGGTACTGATTTAGGTTGAGCAACCTTTGTGGATTTCATGGATCTTTTTCCACATTTCGAAGTACCTTCACTTCCTTTAGGCAAAAAAACCATATTTGCTCATCAGGGTTGATTATTGAAAGGTAAGCAACAAGAGCGGGGTTCATCGGATCCACCTTTCGAAGCATAGCATCCATAATTCTTGCAATAAAAGGAAACATCTCCGAGTCATATTCAACGGTCTTCGCATGTTGATAGATGGTAAACTCTACTTTTAGAACATTAGAGGGAACAAGAATCCCTTCCTTTTCATATATGTCTTAAAGAATTAGACTCCAGTACCGAGCACACGAAACTCCATTGGTAACATTGGTATGGGAGATACCAGTTTTGAACTCCTCCTATAGCTGTGAAACGTAGTCCACATTCAAGTCATAGTATAACCCAACAATTAGGGCATAAATTTCCAACTTGGCTTTATTAAGCCCAATAGCTAGACCTGTGTAACATCGAAAAAAAATCCCAAAGAGAAACTTCCAGATACAAGGCAGAGAGGACTTCTTGAACTAACTTATGCCGATATGTGGAGGTTGATGACTGTCACACTTCCAAATGTCCGGGGGTGGATGAATTTCATGTATTGTATCACAACAATTGAATAATAGTAAAGAATGAAAAAATAACCATCATATATATAGTTGAAAAATGTTACATCACTATAAATATTACATGTTACAAAAGTCAAATATAATATCATGTCAAAAAGATTTGTTTGACGCCTTAGCGTCCCATCCTCAAAAGCTGTTGGTTACCTGTTTTACTGATTCCTTAAGAATACAAGTTATATGAAAACGTGTCAACATTAAGTTGGTGAGTTCATCAGAATTTTTTTATTAGAAGTCTTTCATTTATTCCTTGAAAATGTAAGTGTGTTCTTCTAGAAAATGCAATATTTTCTGTTGTAAATGAATTGTAGTCTTAATACCTTAAAACCAAAATATGTATGTGTCGTTTTACTCTGAAATCGTATAGCGTATTTTTAATTCACATAAAACCATATAATGAATGTTTCCAAAAGTGTAAGTTTCTGTGTATTAGAGAAATAGTATACTGTGTTTGTACTTGTATGAAAATTTGTGACTGTACGTGTCTATATCCACCAGTTGTAGTGTAAAATATTGTATCATAGCTTTATTATTACATAAAACTATTTGAAGTATTTAGGTATTCGTACACTAATCGCATTGTTAATACCAAATTGTGAGTTATTATAACCATGCTTGATGACCTGAGATCACCTTATACGACGTTCTTTTGGCATCGGAATTCGTACGAAATTTGTCACACTACTCCTGTCGTCCTAACTGTAGCAAACAATTTAGGTGTGGGATCATCAGTCCCGTATAGATATATACACAAGTGTGATGCTCTCCTTCCAAGAGACTTTGATTATAATCTAGGACTTTCGTTGGCACTTAGATAAGTACTTAAAGTGTGTCTTACAAAGCTATATTGATAGTTACCTGTAGAATAATGAAAAGCCATTTAGTAATGAATAAACTATATGTATATCTCCTTTCTTAGTGTAATCGTAGTGTAAATAATTATACATTTATATAATTATTTTTGTATTGCATTCATGACTAGTAAAATCATATGTATGTTCCATAAACTATACCTATTATAGTTTAAAGTGTATGTTCTACTGAAATGAAAACATTTGTATTTTTAATAACTATGTATGTTTATAATCGTAAATCTGAGATAAAGATATTCCGTGAAATATAACGTTTTCGTACAACCAATAATAAAATAAGTTGCGAAAATATTCTTTTTTTTTAACGTGTTGCAATAATTTGTGTATATATATATATATATACGGTTAGGTTATTTTGTTTCTAGTAACTATTGTGTGCCAGAATGCACAGATTTGGACCATCGGATGGAATATAATCAAAGGTAATGATCTGAGGGTCTATAATAGTAGAATAGGATAGCATATACCATATAATCACACAAATTTCAGCATAAGGGCATTTTAGTCAATTAACCTATATTAAAAAAGGAAATTTTCAGATTTTTAGGGATAATTAATTCCTTTATTTTTAAAAATCTGAATATTTTAAATTATTCAAATTTAATAATTCGATTTTATTCTATCAGAATGATAGAATGTTAACCATAAACTAGTAAACATATTTTTCAATTTTATTCTGTCAGAATGACAGAATGTCAACCATAAACTACTAAATACATTCTAAAAAGAATACACAGAATCAATTCTTGAGCTAATAATATCCAAATAATTACATTGTATGATTGTGATTCATTGAATAATAACAACATTCTTAAAAAATAAAAATAAATAAAAAATAAATAAAAAAAATTCACAATCTAACAAAAACAATAATCTATTCTGATAGAATATTAATTTTTAGCAACACTTAATATATTGTAGCATAACAATTCTGGTATAATACACTCTCATTTTCTATGTTTTCTTCGTTCTCCACATCAATGTTAGCCTCTTCAAAACCTAAATCCACAAAGAAAACATAATTAGTTTCAAAAATTGAGAATAAAAACTATAAATTCTGACAGAATGTACTTGTTCTTGACAATTATTCTCAAACATTCTAACATAATACATTTATATAAAATTAAATTCTAATAGAATACACTTTATTTGCATATTTGATTTCCCTACAAAGTTAGTATTCTGTAGAATACATTGACAAATAATTTATTTTATTAGTATATGTGATGAAACCATGAAAACTTGTGTATTAATTTAAAGAATATTCTCCTTAAGCAACAACTAGATTTGATATGTAAAGAGATAATTTTTTTTGACTTTCGTGTGTTTAATTATTGTTCATTTTTATGAACCAAAACAATGGAATATCTTTTTATGGATTGCTTAAAAGTAGCAATTCAAAAAAAAAAATTTGTTGTCGTTCATGTATGATTCCACAGCAAACAAAATAAATGTGGTTTGGGATCCCCTTTAGACACACAACGATACACAGTGTCGCTACTTTTGTGATTCCAAAACCAAAAAAAATGCCGACGCCTTATTGAATAGAATTGAGATTGGAACCGAATGAAATTGAACTATTTTACTTACAATTACAGTGGGCTTCTGACTCTTGAATTTCAAAGAGTTTTAGATAACGAAGAAGAAGAAGGACAAAACCTTGTTGCAATCCCTTACGGCCATTTTGGTGTTGGTGTACCGCGACAATCACAATAACGAGAACAGAGGCGATTTGGATGAGATATCGATTTCCTTTGAGGTGTGACTCGGTGTCTAGGGTTTTAATACGTAAAAAAACCGATCCCTCAAAAAAAGGGGATATCAATGGTTAAATTTGGATATTAATTAATACATATATGTGATATTACTAATTTACCCTTAAACAATTTATTTAATTATTTATTATTTCTTGAATTCTCATTGGAGCATTTAGGCATACAATAATTGCTAAAAATATTTGAACCTATATATATATATATATATATATATATATATATATATATATATATATATATATATATATATATATATATATTAGGCATATATAATTAAGATTGATAAGACAGTCGAATAAATAATTCTATCCTAAGCCCACAACCAAACAAGGAATATGATGTAAAACGAAATCACCAATTCTAAGCCTGTAGAATCTTAACTTTATATATATATATATATATATATATATATATATATATATATATATATATATATATATATATATATTCGTAAAAGCAATAGTTGAAATAATTTGAAATATTTTAGATATAACACAAGATTTCTTGTTTCTTACTTGTATTCCCCCTAAAACATGGAAAAATTGTGAAAACATAGGGGTATGAACTCACCTCGAGTGTGTATTCGCGGTTTGATAACGAAGAGGGCAGCAATGTTCTTTAAGTTAGAACACTTGAAGGTAATCAAGGTCTTAATAGTTTGTAACACATAATAATGAGTGAATATATGAACTAAAATGAAAATGTTTTCATAAACACTAGGTTATATAAGAACTTACGATGATCATCTAATATAATATAGTGCTTGAAGAAAATTGTTCTAGGGAATATTGATGATGAGAGAAAACACTTTGCTATTTGTGAGGAAATCTGAAAGATGCTAACTGCAAAGTGTTTTGAGAATGGTAAAAGAGTTTCTTAAAGGGTGG